CATTCCAGTCTCCTCTCTTCCTCTTCTTGGAAAGTGAGACGCGAAGATAGGTGCAATTCGCCCGCTGAGTCCCAAAGCTTTGAGAGTTTCTCTCAAAAGCTCGCTCTCGAGGCTCGCTTTTGGGCCGCTCAGCGGTCATTGCAGTGCAGGCGACACATTTGTCGCGAATGATATGCACTGCAATTATTTAGGTACAATAACTCTGCTACGACCATTACACAAGCTATATATATTGTATTTCGATATCTAAATATTACACTGTAAATACATCTGGACATGTTCAATTTTATTCAAGACCAGAATGTAACAAAACAGCTTTATTAAGTATTGTCCTTTTATAATAATAACAATTTGAATTTGTTTCATTTTCTTTTTCATTTCATTTATTTATATATATTAAAGCAAAACATAATTACAATTAAAGCTTTTCAATATCTCATCTAATTTGTTTGTCAATTTTAACATAGAAACATCTCATTTAGACTGATAAATTTTCAAAGCTCTATGCAAATTTAAAGAATAATAATTGAAATAATAGTTAATATATAATAGTTTAATAATAATTGGTATTCCAAATAGTGAACCTCACAATGGAATCTCTTCACACGTACAGAAATGTTTATTTCAATTTCCATAAAACGTAATTGAAAATCATTTCTTTATATATTTATGATATTTCCATGCACATTTACAATTGCTATAATCACATTTCGATTTATTTGTTTATTTCGCTCCCGATTCTGCTTTCAGCCGTCCAGCATATTGCTCCAGCATTCCCTATCGAGTTACACCATCGTGTGCTGGCCATAAATGTGCTACAGATGAAATGAATGCGGTTAGTAAGTATGTGTTACATATTTAACAAACAGTATTCCTGTGCAATCATTGCCAGCCAGGGTTTGTGAGGATTGCCTTTGCTTCTCCCGTTTTATAGCATAATTTTTATCATCTGCTCTTATCATGCGCTCTAGCCATAAACCTGCGTGAAAGGGTAGCTTGGTCTGTGAGTGTAGGGATGTAACGGGAATTCAAGTAAAATTAAAATATATCTCAAATAAGTTGATCTGAAGATATCCAGTGAGAGAAAAATGTAAATCAAATTAGGAATATGGAATTTAGAAGATTTAAGCAATTCATTGTATATATATATTAT